AGGATCATCCCCACGCAGAAAGGAGGAGGGTGGTCCACTTACCCATGAGTGTCCGGAGGGTTATTCACGAGACACACCACCTCCTGCATCCGGATCTCTCCATTGGGCACCGTGTTGGTGTTGTTTTCATAGTAGCTGAAGACGCCATCATGGAGGCAGCACCAGCGGCGACTGAACTCTACCGGAAGGATAAATAATAAGGCAGGAATGAAACAAAATGTTTCTATGTGTGTCTGTGTGTGTTTTGCACACGCGTGTGTTCAGAGCTCAGCTGCTGCTGGAGAAGAGAGTATTCATCCACAATAGAAGGATCTCCAGCTTAAGGAAAGCCGGGCGATCCAACTTCACACACTGCAAAATGACCTTCCCTTTGAGAGGTTTCAGGGAAGCTCCGTGAACAGGGCCATAAAGTGCTCATCCTGTCTAGTAGTAATGATCCCAAGGGTGGCAATCCTGACCACGGTAGTGGCCACTAGAGATGGGAAAGAATCTGAAAAAAATGGTGATTCGTTTTGATGAAAGTTCCCCCCCCCCGGCCACTAGAGTCACCAATACCACCGAGACGCTTCCCCTGACTCTCCTCTACAGTCCCTCCGAGTTTGGTGAAGATTGGGTTTTAGACGTTCAAGTTATACACCCACAAAGTAGGTCCTCCCCCAGGAAAGTGCCCCTTTTGCGGCTGGCTTGGGGAAGCCCGACCCTCACCAGATGTGGAGGGATGACAGAAGAGAGTCTGGGAAAGCTTCTCTGTGATTTTGGTTTCTCTGGGTGCCTTGGAGGTCATTTTATTGCCAAAGAAATCAACAAATCTAAAATCTAAAAAAAAATCATTGAGTCATATTCGTCAGGGGGCATTAATTCAGATGAATACATGAATTGGCAATGTTTGAATGAATTTGGTGATTCGTGTTTTTAAATTTGAACCCATCTCTATTAGCTATCCATCTCCTACTCCAAAGTCTATCCAGAGTGCGGTACACACCTCCTTCCTTTATTCTGGCTAGATTTTGTGATATCACATTGCCAAAGATAAAGTCAACATTCGCAGGAGTTGCGGTGAGTAATCCCCATTTTGCAAGGGGGGGCGGTGAATCTGCCCCAGCCTCAAGGCTGAACTTGACAAGGTCTACTCAGCTCCTGTCAAGCGGCAGACCAAAAAACCCATCAAGATTTTGCTCCCTCTGCCACCCATGAAATCAGAATCAACAAACTCCAGGTGATTGCGCTTCCAGGGATTTGCTCCAAGGCGCCAAAACGCACTCTCCTTGAGCCTCCCCAAGAAGCTGTGAGTAACGAAGCCTAAGAGCATCGGGGCTCCCCCTTCTAGATTTCTGGGCTCCGTCTGGAGCCGAGGAGGAGGATCTCCATGGGTGATCATCCACCAACCCAACCTGAGAAAGACCCCCTGCCCGGCCACGGTCTCTCCCCGCCTGGCCTCACCGTCCCGGGATTTCCGCTCGTGGACCAGCTTCGCCATAGAAGGCGTCTTGTAGAGGAAGCCATTGTGAGCAACGGAAGGCAGGATGATGGAGTAGTGCTTCTCGAGGTTGGAGGCAGCGTCCAGCTGAGGGGTTTCTACAAATGCAAGACATACGGTGAAGGGTTGTAGAGAGTGAAGTCAAGGCACGGCTGGCCAACGGCAGGACCGGCCCTTTGAAGCCACCCAAGACGATTCAAGGTTCTCTCAAACCAAGACACGGGAAGAGAAAGGGGAAGGGGGAGGGAATGGGGAGGGGAGGGGAGGGGAGGGGGGGGCAAAACTGGGGAAGAAAAGGGGGAAGGGGGAGGAAAGGGGGAGGGGAGGGGAGGGGAGGGGAGATCACCCAGTAGGAGAATCGACACTGAAGGGTCTGGGACTCCGAGACAGAGCCCTTCACCTCACACAAAATTGCAACACCTACAGAAAAGTCTGAATGCCATGGTGCCCCTTGGTCTCTCCCTCAAATGGTCAGAGACCTTCCTTTGGAGCCAGCAGCCCGCACAGAGGTCTCCGTGTTAGGGGGGAAAAAGGCTTCACATATTCCACGAACCATGACCAGGTCACAAACCTGACCCATTCCCAAGGGGAAATTGATAGTACATTGGCTCACGGTTGCCCGTCCCGTTGTCCACCAGGGGACTGGCCCCCTGGGCTGGCCCCCATTATCAGCAAGCGGCCCCTTTTTGCTGCGGCTCCTTCTGGGGAGACCACCGGTGTCCTTCCTGTGTTACACGTTCTGGACCCACGCCAGGGCCTCAGTCGGAGGGCCGTTGAGGACGGGCCTTGTCGTTCAACACAGCTAGAAAGTACCAGGGCGGCCCTTGGCATGGGATCTAGCAAGCAGACCGAGCGTTACGATGCGCCCGGATCGGCTGCCTCTCAGCGCTTCTTCCAAATGCCCCACCTGCCCGGCGAGACGTTCCCTCCACAGTTTGCTCGTCCTTCAGACACCACGGATGGCTTGAGAGAGACCAGCAACCCATAATCCTGTCTTTGCAAATGTCTAAAAAAGCCCTTCAAAAAACACTTAAAAAAAAAAAAGAGGAAGCATGTTGTTTTACTCCTTACGCCAGAATCGCTAACGTCATCGCCACCTGTTAAGCTACTTTTGAAATGTGACTTTGTTGGACTCTTATTGACCAAAAAAAAACAAAAGAAGAAGAGAAAGAAAGAAAGAAAGAAAGAAAGAAAGAAAGAAAGAAAGAAAGAAAGAAAGAAAGAAAGAAAGAAAGAAAGAAAGAAAGAAAAAGAAAAAACCCCAAAAGGTAAAGAAAGAAAGAAAGAAAGAAAGAACCCAAAAAGGTACGTCCTAACAGGTCATTCTCTTCCTTTGCTTGGTCGACACCTGACCCTCAACTCTCTTGGGCCCCGAGGGGGTCCAAACGAAAGGATCGCTCTCTTTCGGAGGGAGATACAGGAAGAGCGAGGGTCAGGGTCCAGAAAATCCCCCAGCCCGAGGTCGCCAGAGGTCAAAGAAGCGGGTCTTGCTATTGCTCAAAACCTGGAGCCAAAAAACTCCACAATCCTACAGTGGGGGGGGAAGGCCTTTGGTCGCCCCAAAGAGCAGCTAAAATGTGCAGCTTATAAAAGCAAAATGTGCTGCTTATAGACCGCCTGCCTAGTGCTAGAGCACTCTCTCGGTGGTTTGCAACCTAAATATGCATGAAACCCCCCCCCCCCCGAGCTGTTTACTCAGTTTACCCAACCTCGGAATGGATGGGAGGTTGAACCAGACCCTCTCTCTCCTTTTAGAGGCTCAGGGTCTCGTGTGACCTGTTCTGGACTATGAGGTTGGAGAATTCGGACAGGCAACCCAGTGTGGCATAACGGATAGAGTACGGTTCAGGGTTTTGGGGGACGGGGTTCGAATCTCCACTCAGACATGGAAGCTCACTGGAGGAGGGGAAACTGATAAAAACGACTCCTTAAATGCCACTTTTACCTTGAAAGCCCTATTAGGGTCGCTATAAGTCGGCACATAGCAGTGAACGACAAGGATATCAACAGACCGGCCCCTTCTTGGCTCTCCTTCTTTCTGCAAGCAGGACAAGACCTTTCTCTTACGGCAAGCCTTCCTCCATGGGACTGGACTATCCGAGCGGGATTCTTCGAGGGATTCTGATGCATGACTGCTCGGACCGGACTTTCAGTAGCACTCCTGGTGCTTGTTTGATCCTTTTCAACATTTTAATATTTGTGTCCTTACTGGGGTTTTTTTTTTAAGCTCCAACAGTGTCTTTTAATGACGTAAGCAGCTTCTTTATACGCATGGCTCTTGGCATTAAATAGGGTCTTTCACTGTTTGTGAGCCGCCTGGGGTCCTTTTAAAGGAGTAAGGAGGGGTAAAAGTATTTTAAATTAAAAAATGAATTAAGTAATGATTTTGACCACAGTTCCCAGGAATTCCCTGCCACGGACCCAGTAGCTGCATGGCTTGGGGAATCCGAGTGAGTCCAGCACTAACCAATCAGGCCTCCCCTTCCTCTGAATCCAAAGAGAGCCCCGCCTCTACGCTCTGTGTCTCTTTCCCTCCCTTTAGTTTGTGATTAAAAGCAGTCGTGGTTCTTGGTTTGCTGTTTGATCCGTTCAACTGTAAGGATACCTTTTATTCTTTCCAATGTCTCAAGAGTGAGTGACTGAGATTGTCAGCACCCATTAAGGGGTGAACTGCTCGGGGGGAACTTGAAGCTGTTCTGCTCTGCAAATTCTTGCATTTCTGCTGCGCTGTTAAATGAATTTAACCCAAAGGTCAAAACTCTGCAACAGCTTCTGGGGTGGCCGGCCAGTTGCATGAAGACCAGCTGCAGCAGGGTGGGAGAAACCCCAGTAAGGAGGTACTCTTAGACCCATTTCCCTCTGGTTCTGTCGCTTGAAGCAGGTTATCGGGGCGGCTGGGACAGCCTTCCTGCTCAAACTGGGGCTCAGCTGGCTGAGGAGGATGGGAATTGTAGTCCCACACACCTGGATGACAGACAGACAACACGGAAGTAGTAGTGGGTCCCTGGCCCACCCTAGCAGCCCTGGTGGGGGAGGGCGGCAGAGAGGAGCAAGTGGGCCCCTTCCCCCCCCCATGGAACATCTCTGGCCCTTCCCTCCCTTCCATAAAGAGCCAGATCAAGACCGGTCCTCGCCCACGAACCCCACCGTCCCTCCTTTTGAGTGTTTTTTGGGACAAAAGCAGCCAAATCAAACAGGAAGGGGGGGGGGGGATGATGTGAACCAGATGTCTGCAACAGACATCAAAACTTCGCAGACTTGCACTCTCAGCAACTCTGTCTATCGTCCGTGCTGTCCAAAAACACAAAAGGCGTGGAGAGAAATCCAGGACAGGCAGAGAAAGGATGATCCCCTCCTTCTGGAATTTGTCTGCAGCTAGGAAGAGTCAGGGCAGGTCCTTGGCGAGCCCTCCAAAAATCCCATTGAGTCGGAACGGTTCCTTAGCAGAATTAGGTCCCCCGTTCATTCTATTGTGTTTATTGCACCTGGGCCATGAAGTCGTTGTTTTATTCCGCCTTTCCTTCAGCGAGCAGGAGGAAATCCATGTGTAGCCCTCGCAGCATTTGGAAAAGTTCTTTTTTTGGGGGGGGGGATTGAGCGACTCCCAGAAGGCCCACCGAGCACGGCCACTTCATCCTCGCAACAACAGGACCGGCTGGGAGAAAAAGAGGGGGGACTATACCCTGCGAAACTTGAAGCTATTCTGCTCTGTGAATGCCTGCCCTTCCACTGCGCACCTAAATAAATTTGACCAAAAAATTCAAAACTCGGCCACTAGCCAAGGATCACCTCCTGAGTTGCACAATCCGGTGGGAACTAGATCCCAGATCTCCTGACGCTGTAACCGCTCTTCCACACTGGGTGCAGGTTGGTTATGAAGTGAGACCCTTTGCCTTTTTGTTCTGGGTGGCTTTTGTGTTGCCCCCCCCAAAAGAGACTTGCCACGTGTGGATTTCCTGAAAAAGCTGCTTGACATCCTGTCACCTCCCTCTCCTCCTCCTCCTCCTCCTGGTAAAACAACTTAATTTATGCTATTTAAATGGCACTATAAGTACACAGTGACTTGGAAACCGCCACGGCTTTCTCTTGGTGGCGTCTCCTCCCTCAGCACCTGCCAACCCCTGGGCATTCGTTTCTATACCCCCCTGGGGGGTGGAAATTTCGGCTGTCCAGGTCAAGCTCTATACTGCTCTAACAGGAAGTTCTTCCTGATTTTCAGCCTCAAACGCCCTTCCTGTAACTCAAGCCCACTATTGCGCTGGGCTGACTATGAACAGATCCTGGCCCTCCTCTGTAGGACGGCCTTTCACGTATTTCAAAATTCCTCTCCCATCTCTCCCTCCCACCCCCACCCACCCCAGGAGATGCCCATGGTTTCCAGCATCTCTGGTTCCTTACACAACGGCAATGTGTTGGGTTGGGCAGGGGAAAAGTAAGGGTGTCACAAAGCTCCAGTTCAAAAGTAGTTTAGCCCATGAGGTTGGTGCAGCTAATAACATTTTGGAGTTTCTTTTTTAAAGTTCCCTTTCAAATGTACATTTAAGAAGCATTTTGATAAGAAGTTATGTCCTGCACTCTGGGCTGACTATGAACAGATCCTGGCCCTCCTCTGTAGGACGGCCTTTCACGTATTTCAAAATTCCTCTCCCATCTCTCCCTCCCACCCCCACCCACCCCAGGAGATGCCCATGGTTTCCAGCATCTCTGGTTCCTTACACAACGGCAATGTGTTGGGTTGGGCAGGGGAAAAGTAAGGGTGTCACAAAGCTCCAGTTCAAAAGTAGTTTAGCCCATGAAGTTGGTGCAGCTAATAACATTTTGGAGTTACTTTTTTAAAGTTCCCTTTCAAACGTACATTTAAGAAGCATTTTGATAAAAAGTGCATAGGTGTTGCATGACTCTCAAAAGTAACTTCCTGAACAAACACTTCCCCAACTGAAAGGACCAGACAGAATGTCAATCTGGAAGCTGTGCAGGATCAGACCTGACTGGTACTTTGGTGAGAGAGGCCCAAATGCTGCCAGGTGTCTCCAGGGAGAGGCAGGAAAGTCTGCGTGAAGGCAGGCAGGCAGGAGGGCAGGTGGGAAGGAAGGAAG